GGTTTTACAGTAGCATGCAGAGAGTTGTACCAAGTAGAACTGCCTTCACTTTCAAATGAATGTATCCCCCTACCCCTATGCAGTTATCACAATGTCTGTCAAAAACTTCAGGCTTCACTGTTTACATCGCTGTAATTTCAGAAGAGATCTTTCCTTAACAGTTACGTTATGTGGAAAGAAAACTGTCACCATGAGAAGCTGCTGCAGTTATTGCTTTTAGGACCAGCAGCACCTTATATACCAAACCATTTTCTATCTTAAGGACAAAACGAACTCCAGCACAACTCTCGTTTTATTCCAAAGCCTTTCCCACACAGTGAGTACTTAAGACTTTGTTGTCACATGGCGGAATGATGGTCTTTGCTTCGCCTCTTGGCCATCTCTCTTCTCCATCTTTTTTTTAAAAAAAAACAAATCTTGTCAGGCCTTGTTTTATTGTGACTGGATGAAATTCGCAGGCATTTGCTGCTCTATATAACTTCTTCCGGATTTCTTGGTTGGAACTCAGGTGCTAATGGAATGGAAAAGACACTTCAGGGTCAATAAAAAGGCAATTGAATGGCACTGGCAGGGAAATAGTATGACAATTCATGGTGATGAGGCGGGAAGCCTGCTCTCAAGAGCGTTTGACCCGCTCACAATTTATTTTCCAGCCGTGCTTCCTTTGGGTTTTCTGAGGGGTTTATTTTGGCTTTGATGACGGGCTCCTTCCCCGATGTCTTATTCGTCAGTTCCGCTAAGCTTAGTCCTCTAAAGCCCTAGACCTGCCTGCTAATCTCATACCTTAACTGCTGCCAGATGTATTTCGAAATCATCTCTGCTCCAAGATTTGATAACATTTGGCAACTTACGTCTCTGTGATGCTTCACCAAGCTTTGTTGGAATCCCTTTGCGTCCTTTGGCTTGAGCCAGGGCTTAACCCTAGAAACTGTCTTTCAGTGGCACGACTCAGTTCTGAGGACATGAAGGAGCCAATGTTTGGCCCTCATCCCTTAATAATTGCAGCCAGCTGCCTTTTTTTGTGTGGTGATCAGATGAGGAGAAGCACAAAGGACACATGTCACTCAGTGAGTTTAATGGCTGAGTCGGGATTCAAACATTGGGTCTCCCCATTCCTAGTCTGACACTCTAACTGTGATTCTTTGCACTGCACCACTGTGATCCTGAGGGCAGTGTCTCTGTGTTCAGGGAACAGATCCTTCTGGAGCACAAGAGACTGTGGGGAAAACTAGTCAAGACATGGGAGCACTCACATAAGCATAGGTGCCAACTCATTGGGGCCCTGGTCACCCACAAAATTCCCCACGAAAGGTCTGGGCACCCACAAATTTCAGTGCCAGGGCCATGCACCCACAGCCCTGGGCACCCACAATTGCAGGCCCAAATTAGCACTTCGGCACATAAGGTAATCAAGGGAGTAATGGAGAGAACAGCAGAACTATGTTTTATTGAGGAAGTATAACAAACTATTAACTGAACCACTGGCTGTTGAAGACTTTCCGGGAATGAAGAGAGGGCAAGATGGAAGGTATTGAGGGTGAGTGATGTGGTTGTGCAGTGTGACTTTGGATCCGGGGGGATTACAATTTGGAAGCAGTTGGGGAAGAAAAAGCGGGGAAGAGGATAACCCTGAATGTTGTAACTTTTTTTCACAGGGGAGTTGCTCCATCCCTACAATAATTCTGGTTGCCCTTTTCTGCACCTTTTTTTGAGGTGCAGCAACCAGAACTCTACACAGTTCTGATTCCTTTCCAGATGATCTTGAGTCCAGTGAGCATTTGGTCAGGAACTTTGTCAGTATCTGCTGGATCACTCCAATTACATCCTGGTGGATATTCTCAAAGAAATCCAAAAGTTTGATGAGTTAGGACTCACCTGTTACTTGGCTCATCCTGTTGCCCATTTTTCTTTTCATCCTTGTCTGGTGATTTTTTTGAAAATAAAAATAAAATAAGACAGGAGTGGAGACAGATTTCTCTAGCATACATATACGTGAATGGAGCACTCATATTCACGCAAAGGCATCGTAATGAAAGCTGAACAAATTGCACGCTGAAGGCAGTGTTCATTTTGAACTGCTGGTTATGTATTATGGGGCAATTATATTTGTAGAATATATTTAATCAAAAGGACATCCTATTTGGTTTTAAGTCGTTGCAGTGACTATCCATAAATTAATGCAGTGTGCAGCAAGTGGGAAACTATCCCCCAGCAAGGTATTGAGGCAGCACTGAAGGAAGTCCTCAAGCACAGATCTTTGGTGAGAGAAAAGGAACGCCAGAAGCTCACAAATGTGCCCCTATTTTTGACTGTGTAAAGTTAGAAAGCATGTTATTGGCTTGCCATGTATCTTCCTCTGTGGTGGGCAATTAATTTGTATCTAATGCAGATCACACAGTACCAACTGTTGCCTTTTGCACTGTGGTTTGCCTTTGTTAGAAATAGGGTCCTTGTGACTTTGAATGCTGAGTTTCAACATTTGAAATGGAGGGTTTCCCATTTTGGATTGACGCATAAGAGAATTGCTAGGTGACAGAGGGGGAAATTGCAGAGCCAGCGATGGGTAGCTTTTGATTTTTCCCCCCAAACTGAATTTTAAAATATTGAAATGATACATTATTGGCTGGAGGCAGTTTCAGATGCACACATGTTTCAAATATCTAGTTTTATTGCAATGAAGTGGTATATAAATTTTGTTGAATAAATAAATAGACGGCAGTCTGAAATAGGAATGCTGCTGAAATTCTTTTGATAAAACAATGGTGGTGATACAATGACTACTGCAATCGACACAAGATAATATCACCAAGGCAACTCTCTGGAAACAAACAATAAACATCCATTAAAATGACAAAAGTAGTTTTTTTTCTCAAATAGGTTTTATCTTAAACAATAGCAAACACAGTAAATAAAGAGCTCACTTGTAATATATCAGTGGTTCAGTGCTCATTTCTTCTCTTTCCAAAATAATTCGTTTTCTTAAACAATTGCAAATGCAGTAATAAGGGTCCACTTTTGATATACCAGTGGTCCAGTGCTTGGATGTCATTCCGGTAATCCGATGTTTTGTCACTAAAGAGCTTAGTCATCAAGCTTTGTAGTAAATAATGTACAAGAAAAGACAGTATGTAAACGACTTAAGGAGGTTTAACAAACTGAAAGACATCGTCCTCTTTCTATGCTCTTCCTGATGGAAACATGCAGATGGGGACAGATATACCCTCTTCCCCCCCCCTTGGTGAAATTCTTTCGAGTCAGGTAAATGGGCTCAATAATTGTACTATCTTCACTGATAAAAAGGGGAATCTGAGACATGTTAATTGTGGGAAAGCTGAGGGAAGCAAAGCATCAATGTGGGTGGGAATGGAAGCTTACGTCAGTGGGGATGAATTTGGTCAATTAATTAATTCCATTTATGATCCAGTGCTCATAAAATGCCTCAGAGCAATTTCACAGCCAAACACCAACAATTAAAACAATTGAAAACTATTTCCTATGTAAAAACAATTACATATATAGAAACGATGAAAAGTTGTTAAATCAAGCTCCCATTGCAGTGCTTCTCTCACACTCAGCAAGTCTATTTTTACAGCCAGCCTGGTTGAACTTAGAAGGGTATTATTGAAAAGCATATTTGCATGCCTTGCCTCTGCTCTGCTGAAAAAGTGAAGAGATGAAAAGATCCCTTTGGATGTACAAATTAATAAAGAAGGTGATGTGTACTGATAGGTTCTTCATTATTTCATTTCAAATAAATTGTCCTTCATTCTTATGATTTTGGTCATTGACATGTGTATTAATGAGGAAAAGGAATGGAAAAGGTATTATTAATGGGAAAACATAGACAAAATAGAAGCAGGATATATAATGATTTGCAGTGCAATCCACACCCCAAATCCGCTGGGATTGCAGAGTTTGGATCTGGTGGATTTAGGGCTTTCCTGGATTAGCCAGGACTGTGCTGGCACAAGTCTCTTACTCTAGCTAAGATGGAGGTACATTGGCATAAGTCCCTCACCACAGCTTAGGCAGGGCTCAACCAGAAGAACTTAAGCCAATGGAATTTATGCTGGCATAAATCCACAAAAAGGGGCATTCTGGCAGTGTGGCATGGCATGACTGGAAACGTACACTGATTCCAAACCCCATTCAACTTGATCACGTGATCTAGGGCATGATCCTCAAAACTTGGGAAGTTGCAAGGATATTCACTGAGAGTTCCTAGACCAGTTTGACAACTTCTTGTGTAAATCGGCGGTTCATGAAAGGGTTTTATTAGTGAATTCAGTTACCAGTGATTTCACGAATTCCCAAGCCTTTGTGTTATCAACAAGTTGTACAAACATGTAAGAGTCACTCAAGCAAGTATGTAGTACCAGTAATTCTGACGAGAGCCTTAACCCACCCAACAGTTAACTACACCCTTTCACGTGGGAAACCTGCATTTACTGGATGATGCTAGTTGCTTGCCTTATTAAATGATTGATTAAAGGTATTTCATTGCAAAGCCTTCCTCGGACGTCTCTCTTTCTCCAGCTTTCCTTGTTTATAAAAACGTTTCTTAACAAAACGTTTCTTAACAGCAAAGGAAACAGATTAACTTGGGTTAATTATTATTTAACTAAAAAGGTTATCTCATTATTTCATCCCTGTTTTTTAAAATAATAATACACTGTCTAAATGCAACATGGAACAAATAATTATGGAGTTAAAGTTCTGCTTTATCGCTCCTTTTATCCTATAAAAACACACACACACACACACACACACACACATGACAGGTGAAGGATTAATGGAGCCTAAAGCTAACATACAAGAGATAAGAAAAAGGAAAGGGATGTTCAAACATCAGTATCCTTCGGGCTGTTTATTGACTGTTTCGTGTGAATTATCAGCAGCTTAGTATTGATGAGTTCTGTTCATACATTGGCAGTGTTTCTTCAGGACTGCAATTCAGCTTGTAGGCAGGTATAGCATTCAGACATCAGTATTCTTCTGGGGAGGGCCGTAGCTCAGTGGTACACTAATGCATTCTGCTTTGAATGCAGGAAGGTCCCAGGTTCAATGCCTGGTGTCTTCAGGTAGGGCTGGGAGAAGAGCTTTTCTGAAACCCTGAAGACTTGCCACCAGTCGGATGTAGACAGAACTGAGCTAAGGCAGCTTTCCATGTTCATATCACATGATAAAACTATGTGCTGAAATGTGTTTGGATTCTTAAAGACAAAATGCTACCTGTCATAATTAATAAAGAACAAAAAGTTACCCACCTGTGTTCTAGCATGAACTAGTCTTTGCTTTCTCTGTCTCCAATGTATTGGCCCAAATTATTTACATCTCCATTCCTCCAAATCAGCTTCTCTGACCAGTTGTTGAGGTTCAACCCCACTCTGGAACAGCAAACATGGCGGAGGGCGCTTGGGGTGCAGGTCAACAGGGGTCTGTTGATAGTCTGCTGATAGCTTGACCCACACCTCCGCACAAGTGATCAAACAGTGAAGGCCACTTTTATGAGCTCCCCTTTATGACTCACAACATCCCTAATGAATTCTATATGAACTGAAGTTACACATTTGTGTCGGTCAATCTGCATATACATGGTTTAGTAGGCCTTAAAGTGGGACTCGATTTGCACAAAGCAACAATTTTCTCCGACCAAAGACTGAGGTTACAACCACTCATACTATTAGATTTAAGGAACAGGTGGCCTCTGAGCTTGGAAATTTGGTTTTATCATCTGTCCTGATCTAAGCTCATAGTTCTTTCACACAGACGTCCACTCCTGCTTAGCTCCCTTCATTTCAGCAGCCTAATTGAGCTGGGAAAAGTCATTTTGTAGTTGCCATTTTTAAACAACTAGGAACAAAGTCAGAAGTTGGGAGCCAAAAGGGGGGGAAAAGACGAAGACGAAGAATACACAGGGACACACCAAAGCTCAGAAGCCCTTGTTGCTCAGGCTAGGCCTAACTCAAAGAGGAAGGTTACCAGATTTTTTTCAATGAATCCGGGGACACTTTTCAACTTCCTACTAAACAGATGGATTTTGTCAGGGTACTGATTTGTAAATCCGGGGACTGTAAATCTGGGGAAACGGGGACTTCTGGTAACCTTAGCCTAAACCAAAGCTTCAACCTGCAATTCTGTGGATTACCACATGAAGTAGCTAATCTGTGGCCCTTCAGGTATTCCTGGACTATAACTCCCGTAGTCACTGACTATTGACCATGCTTGCTAGGACGGATGGGAGTTGGAGCCAAACATGATGTGATGGGCCAAAGATTAGCTATCTCTGATTTACCCAGATCAGAAGGTTTCCAGTTTGAGAACTGAAAGCTGCTGACAGAATGGGAAAGAATGTGGAAGCTTTGGGGCTCTTTAACTATAATTAAACTTGAGTTACATGGAAAACTTTGGAAATGAAGCAGTAGTTTTCTGTCACAAGATACACTACAAATTATGCTATTTGCATTATTATCAATAGCAGAACATATGTGACTGCAGCCTAGTTGCCTATTAGATGCCGTCCTGTAGTAATTCGAAACACCCTTAAAATTGCTTTTAAATATACTCTTACATCATTATAACTTTAGAAGAGTATCAGTGCCTTCAGAATCTTTTGTTCTTTTATTCTCTCATTTGCCACATCGTCATTTTCTCTGCCTGGAAGGTAAAAACCAGCTAGAAAACAAACTCCTGGTTTTGTGGTTGGGAGAAGGAGGCCTTCATATGTTTTTTTTAACTCACCACACAAAAGACAAGGAGCCATTTGCTCTTCTGCTCCTTAAGCATGTTATTGTCATTTGGGCTGCCAGGAGACAAAAGGAAGGTTTTCTCTTACCAAGCATTTTGAACCAAGCATATTACAGGCACAATTTATTTGTCTGCTTGGCCTATAAAGTCTGTGGGGAGAGAGTGAATGTAATTCTGTCATGACTCATTTCTTTACAAATAGCCCTTTGTCCAGTTGCAGCTGTGTGCTAAAGTTGTCTCCTCCTCTCCCCAAATCCTTAATAGTCAGGTGATTCCTCTTTTCTTTGTCCTTAAAAATGACATTAGCTTCACTTTTTCGTACTAGGGTTAAATTTTATCTGGAGTCCCGTTCCACACGCCCAGCGTGGGCGGCATTGCTGAATCAGGAGTAAGCTGAGGGCAAACAGACCAGGCAAGATTTCAGGGCAGAATCATGGATACTGAAGGGGGAAGAACTGCCCCCTGGCTCAAATTAGACAGGCTTGGAAATAAGACAAGCTATTATTTCTGCCCCCCCCCCAATGGGAAAACAGCTCAACCAATATTCAAGCTTTTTGAATTCAAACTGCATCCATCCCTACCTTCAATAATCTCCAGTCTTCCCATTCCCACTGGCTTGGCTGCTGACGGACCTCTGATAGATGTGTATGAGCAAGCAGAAAGCAACATCTCTCCCCTATCCCTGCTGCTGCACGGCACCCAGGCATTGGCAGGCCTCGACAACATGACATTTCCTTGGGGAACAGCACCACTCCAGGCACAGGGAGAGTCCTCCCTCCTTTTTTATTACTTGATTCCACCTGGGCACATAGCTGTCAACCGTCCCTTATTGGGCAGGAAAGTCCCTTATCCCAGCGCCGTGTCCCGCTGTTGTCCTTTAAATTTCCCAGGGAGGAGGGAGGCTCCAACTGTGTTGCTTGGCTGCCCGGCCCGCCCCTCTCTGGCCTCCTCTCACCAGCCCTGGGAGCCCCTCCCCACCTTGAAGAGCCTTGAGAGGAGAGCGAGGGCAACCATAGAGAAAGCAATTCAGAGAGAGGAGGAGGAGGAGGCGCGGGCAGGTGTTCCAATGGCTAACCATAGAGGGGGAAAGCGGAGGAAGGACCGCAAGCGCTTCTCCCATAGATTTGTAGTGGTAGACTAGCATAGATGGTCTGGTCTGCGGGCTTACTTCAGGCGCTATTTCCCCACCCCTCTTCCTCCCGCCCCGCCTGATGGAACTGAGAGCTGCAGATGGAGCACGAGAGAAAAGATACAGAACTGCAGCAGCATCTTCATAGCTTGGACTTTGCTTTGCGCGAAAAGTGGTGGCTGCTTGTAGTTATTTAATTGCAGTGTTTCATCAGCTGGTGTCTTGAGCAGCAACCTCTGGAAATGAAGGGCTAAAAACTGGCGCTGCTCTCCCAAATTATCTGGTCCCTTTTAACTTTGTATTGCAGCTGGTTGACTAAAATCCCTTATTTTGGCTGCTGATCCCTTATTTTCGAGGCTGCTGGTCCCTTATTTTCAAATCTGTAAGTTGACAGTTATGCCTGGGCATCCCTGAGATTTTCATACTTTTCAGTGTATGGGTGATCCACCCCAATAAGCGTCACCTAGTGCTTTTCCTGCAGTCCATTACTCACAGACTTTGTATCTGGCATCTGTGTCTTTCTCATGCATTGACCTTTCTGCCTCATACCTGGTGTTTTGTAAGTGCAGATGTTGTATAGGTTTGAAACTTCAGGTAATGTGCCCGTAAACCAGATGCGGCTATTGGGTGTGAAGAAATCCAAAACTGCTTCTCCATTGCCAGTAAAACTATCCTGTAGTCTGAGCTCATGCACAGGTCATGTACTGATTTCTTCAAGACAGCTTTTGGGTGTAATTGTGTGTAGAGTTGGAGTTCTAAGTCCAAGAGTGAGAGCCAGGACAATATTGTGAGAATATGTGTTAACCTGGATATGAATGTGGGGTTCCCCTCGTAAGTCCTAACCAGTCTTGTGGGTTTTGTGGAGACATCTACACCTGCAACTATCTATAATATGTGTCCAAAATAAAAGATTAAGGCCCTGCTTTCTGTGCACTCTGTCAATTCTCAACTTCGTATCTGGCATTTGGTGTCTTTGGCACGACTTGTTTTTTTTCTGCCTCACACCTGATGTTTCATAAGTGCAGATGCAATACAGATCTTCTAAACTTCAGATAATGTGCCAGTAAACCAGATGTGGACTTTGGGTGTGAAGAAATACACAACTGTTTCTCCTTTGCTAATTTTTTAAAAAAGAAGAAGCCTTTGATCTGCTGCATCAACCTAATGGATGGGAAACCTATGGTCATCCAGATGTTGTTGGACTACAACTCCCATCAGCCCCAGTCAGGTTGGCCAGTGGCCCAAGATGTTGGGAGTCTTAGTCCAACAACACATAGAGGATCGTAGGTTTCACATCCCTGGCAGTGTGTGTGTATGTGTTTGCCTGTTGGATGTTATTTATGGCTCCTTGCCATTTTTCTTTAGCTTAGCCCAGCCACTCCCAATGTGCTACTCACAGGTGCACATACACCCACAGAGGCTTTCCTGGGCAACCACAGGATCTCTTTCTGCTGCTGAAATTAAGCTTGAAACAAAGATTCTGTTGACGTCAATAGAATAAGCTGCAGAGTGCCTACGTGTGTAGTTCCCTTGGTTTGCAAATGTCCACAGACCCCAAAATTGTTTGGCAACCCCTGGCTCAACTTTTCCCACTAAGTGAACTTGGAGTATGCCAATTTAAAGCAAATAAAAACATTCAAGAATTATTTCTGCTTCCAGTGGAGCAATATTTAAGTGTGAGTGCTGAGCCCTTCATTTACATGCAGGGGAAGAAATCAATAAAATATACCAAAAGCTCAATAGGGAGACGGCGAGTTACATTAAGACCTTCCAAGTATTAAATTTTACCTCAGTATATTGCCTGAAGTGGTTATATCAGCAATAACATCTAATCTGGGTTGTGTATCGCATACTATTAAATGGCCCTATAAGAGCTGGTGAAGGCATCTGGGCTGAAAATAAATAATTACATAGACTCTCTAGGGAGCCAAACTAACTAATTAGACTATGAGAATTATTGTTTCCAGTGCAGAGAATAAATTCATACTGTTTCCACTGACACTGAATATAACCCCTGGGGGCGGGGGAAACCCTCCAGGCCCTCAGAAATCAATACAGGACAAAGGAACATAAAAATGAAGGATAGAGAGTGCCTACATTGATCAGAATGGAAAGCCCCATTCACAAGAGTGTGTATAAAGTCGAAAAGTGTTTTACCTTTGGCTAATTATTACATATGGAGGTACTGTTTATGTAATGTCGTG